ACATGCCCCGTAAAGTTGGGGTGACATAGGGAAGGTACTTGCCTGCCAATCACATCTGGGAACAGAGATGGTTGGCCAGAATGGGCATGGCCTCTGCAAGCAAACGAACATTTGGGAATACCTAATCCTGTAAAGTTCACTCTCTTGGCTCTTGGTACTCTTGTTCGCGTGCTCCTGGCTTGCTCTTGGCTCCCCCTGCATTCGCCCGTACGGCTTACAGCCATGTGGACCCCACATACAAGGGACTAAATGGACTGCAACTAGCCTGATGCTGGACTGGACCCAGCTTCAACGTCAAAAAAAAAAACTCTGGGCACAGGCTTTGATTTTAGCTCTACTGAAACCCCAGCTACACATTTTTTATGACTGGACTAAGGGACATGGGACTCTGGAAACCCAGGGGTGTTATTCTATGAAAATAAAGCTTGCTATTATATTGCACCCTCCCGTACACATCGTCCCAATACGCCAAGGTTGCAGGTTCAATCTTGGTCAGGGCACATACAAGAAAATTCCTTTTCTTGGGATTTTGTATGAATTCCACTCCCAGCAGCAACGGGGGGAGACGAGGCATGCTCCTCTCCATTAACAAGTCCATTATGGTAAATGCTCAGAGTCTAAATACCTGAGGCTTAGAACAAAGCATTTCAGAAGTTTTAACTAGTTTTTAGGATAATGTGTGAAAACTTAAAAAGATACACAACATGGTATGACAATCTATAGGCCACAATTTTATTTTTCTTTATTGACTTTAGAGAGAGAGGAATGGAGAGGGAGAGAGAGATAGAAATATTGATGAGAGAGAACATCCACTGGCCGCTTCCTGCAGGCCCCCCACTGGGGATCGGGCCCACAATCTGGGCATGTGCCCTGACCAGGAATTGAACCGGCGACCTCTTGTTGTATGGGTCAATGCTCAACCAGTGAGCCACACTGGCCGGGCCACATATTTATTTTAAATGGCAAGTTCCTCATAAAACAGTATTACTCTTTGACTCAGTAGTATGACTCTTCATACTAACTTAGCATAAGTAAATAATTTTTTAAAGAAATCAATATATAGTGGAAGCACTCTTAACTAACTTCCACTGAAGTGATTTGAAGAGACCCACTCCAGTCTCACACATACTGCAGAAGCCCAGAGCAAGCTGAACATATGCAGCTAGTAGACTACTTCCTAGCATATTTGCATAAGTTGTATGCTTACCAAGAATATGTCACTTTTCTCCCAACCTGTTTATGACAATTATGCTTGCCATTGAAACTGTGTAATTTATTTAAAATCATAGACATCGGTCGGGATGGGGCAGCTCAGCTGGTTAGAGCATCGTCCCAATACGCCAAGGTTGCAGGTTCAATCTTGGTCAGGGCACATACAAGAAGCAACCAATGGCCCTGGCCAATGTGGCTCAGAGCTTTGGAGCATCAGCCCTTGGACCGAAGGGTCACAGGTTTGATGACCGAAAGGTCATGGGTTTGATGCTCAGTCAAGGGCATGTGTCCAGGTTGCAGGTTTGATCCTCGGCCCTGGTCGGGGTTCTGTGGGAGGCAGTAGATCGATGTGTGTCTCTTACATCGATGTTTCTCTCTCTCTCCCCCTCCCTTCCACTCTCTCTCAAAAAAATCAATGAAAAAATATCTTTGCATGAGGATTAACGAAAAAAAGAAAAAAAATCAACCAATGAACGCACGAGTAGAACAAATTGATGTTTCTTTCCCTCTTCTTCCCTTTCTTCCTTTCTCTCTCTCTAAAATCAATAAAAAATTTTAAAAAATAAAATCATAGACATCATTGAAATATGATTGTACAAAGAGACTTGATATTTCTATGAAACCTAAATTAAATGGTTTAGAAAGTTGCTTTACTTTTCTTTTAAATCCTCACTCAAGGATATTTTTTTCATTCATCTTCAGACAGAGCAGGCAGGAGGGAGGGAGGGAGAGTGAGAGAAACATCAATTGGCTGCCTCCCACATGACCCAGACCAGGGCAGGGGAAGAACCGCAACCAAGGTACATGCCCTTGACCAGAATCAAACCCACAACTCTTCGGTCCATGGGCCGACACTAACCACTGAGCAAGACTGGCCAGGGCTGGGAAGCTACTTTATTTTATTTATTTATTTATTTTTATCCTCACCTGAAGACATTTTACCATTTTTTGTTCAGGTAGAGTGGGAGGGAGAGAGAGGAACAGAGAGAGAGAGAAACATTGATGTAAAAGGGACACATCGAGTGGCTGCCACCCGCACAACCAACCAGGGCCGGGGACAATCTGCAACCTAGGTACGTGCCCTTAGCGGGAACCGAACCCGGTTCTCTCTGGACCACAGGCCAACGCTCTAACCGCTGAGCCAAACCGGCCAGGGCTGGGAAGCTACTTTAAAAATACCACTTCAGATTGGGTGTGAGAGAAACAACTATAGAAGAATGGGAGGAAAATCATAAAAACCTAGAATGACTCTTTGATCAGATTATTTTATACGTGTGTTTACATTCTTACTCTCTTTAAATAAACATAAATTGGAAACTATAAACAACAGACCCATATTTTAAAAAAACACCTAGGTCCTACATCAAAATCGCTAAATAAATTTACTGTTTAATTTAAAATTTCTTAAAATAACCTCTTTATGTATGATCCCCTCTTTAATGGACTTTTCAATTTAAACCCTACTACCAGTGTTAGTGACCTAGGCTTTTACGGTAAACCAAAAATGTTACAACAATGCTGTTGACTTAAAAACAAAAACAGCCCTCACCGGTTTGACTCAGCGGTTAGAGCGTCGGCCTGCGGTCCAGAGAGACCCAGGTTCAGTTCCTGCTAGGGGCACATACCTCAGTTGCAGTTTGTCCCCGGCCATGGTTGGTCGTGCAGGTGACAGCCACTCGATGTGTCCCTTTCACGTCGATGTTTCTCTCTCTCTTCCTCTCTCTCCCTCCCACTCTACCTGAACAAAAAATGGAAAAATGTCAAGTGAAGACAAAACAACAAAAAAAGGGGAAAAAAAAAAAACAGAAACAAAAAAACTGAGCCCTGGACAGTGTGGCTTGGTTGTTTGGACATCATTCTATGCACCAAAGGGTTGCCAGCTCAATCTCTGGTAGGGGGTGTACAGGAGGCAGCCGATCAATGTTTCCCTCTTTCTCTCCCTCTCCCTTCCTCTGTCTCTAAAAATCAATAAAAATATTTTTAAATAAAACCTGAAAACATTTAGACATACAATAAAGGAGATGAACATGGAAACAGTTTTAAGATAAAACTGAGTGGAAAAAAAGCAAAAATAGCCCTGGCCGGTTTGGCTAAGCGGTTAGAGTGTCAGCCCGAGAACCAAAGGATCCCAGGTTTGCTTCCTGGTCAAGGGCATGTACCTGGGTTGCAAGTTCAATCCCTGGTCCCAGTCAGGGTCATGTGGGAGGCAACCAATCGATGTGTCTCTCTCACATTGATCTCTCTCTCTCCCCCTCCCTCCCTTCCACTCTCTCTAAAAATTAATGAAAAAATATCGTTGGATAAGGATTAACAAAACAAACAAACAAAAAAATCACAAATAATTGATTACCCCTACGTAAAAACTGTGTCTATATATTTTTTTTCATAATTTTTTTTTTTATCCTCACCCGAGGACATTTTTTGTTCTGATAGAGTGGGAGGGAGGGAGAGAGAGAGAGAGAGAGAGAGAGAGAGAGAGAAACATCGACGTGAAAGGGATACATCAAGTGGTTGCCACCCGCACAACCCAACCAGGGCCGAGGACAAACTGCAACCGAGGTACGTGCCCTTAGCGGAAACCGAACCCGGGTCTCTCTGGACCGCAGGTCGACACTCTAACAGCTGAGCCAAACCAGCCAGGGCTAAACTGTGTCTATATTAACAAAGATCAGAAGATAGTGGAAAGTAAAAGAGTTGCACGAGTTTGGTGAAATAATAAATTAGGTATTTGGTATCACACTTTCTTTTATGAGTTTTAAAAGTCATTTTGATGCAATTTCGTTTAGAATAGCAACCTATCTTAGGGTACTTAAAATAATTCAATATTTAAAAATTGAACACACTTACTAGTTAGATGTATAAATATGTAAGTTAGTACTGTTAGGACACCTTCTGTCATTCTGTCCTAACTGTTAGAATGGCCACTAGATTCCATCATTTCTAAAATCTCAACACTACCCTTTCTTGAGCCAGAATAACAAAGAATGCACTAGAAATCTGGATAAAAATGTTTAAGATGATGATTGATTCAGACTATTTTAAGCTTTGTTTGGCAAACTATTTAAAGAAAGGTACATACAACTTCCCAATACAAAGAATTGTGCTAAAAATTATCAGATGTAAGAATTCATTGTTTAAATCTAATATCCTTGAAAAATGGTAATTCAAGGAACTAAATTACATTATAAATTTTAAAATAATTATGTAATTCTGCCCTAGCCGGTTTGGCGCAGAGGTTAGAGCGTCGACCCATAGACCAGAGCGTCACAGGTTCGATTCCAGTCAAGGGCATATACCTTGTTTGCGATTCAGGCCCTGACCCTGGTCAGGGTCATGCGGAAGGCAACCAGTGAATGTGTCTCTCACACTGATGTTTCTCTCTGTCTCTTTCTATCTCCCCCTCCCACTCTGTCTGAAGATAAATGGAAAAATATCCTCAAGAGAGGATTTGAAAATAGTAATAATAATAATAATAGTGATAATTATGTAATTCTAATTAAGTCTTATTAAGTATGGCATCTCTAAAGACAGATTTCAGTTTATTTACATGTACTCAGTAGATTTTTACCTGTATCAAGGGCAGTCATTTAAAATAGCAAGCTCTTAAAAAACATTCAAAGTAGTTGCTTCTGGAAATGGTTCAGGGGATAGAAAGAGAGGTTATTCCTTAAAAGTTTATTGGTATTATTTGATCCTATAAACCACAAATATAAATGATTTAAGTATATACACTTTTATATATGGAGTAATTATTACTAAATATAATCACCATGGGCCAAAGATAATACCTTGGGGTGAGGGAAGAGGTTGCTCTTGCACCTTCCCCTGAGAGAGGAGTCCCAAGTAGCTGAGAACAACGTATTTTGTTTCATAGTGAAATCCCAGAGGCACAGTAGTAGAGGACGCCATCGAGTTGAGTGGCAGAGCTCCAAAGAAGTCTAACAGGTATGTGAAACCTAAAAACATAAAAGTATTTTTCAGTTTAAAGTGTATTACGTGGTAGTAAATTTTCCCATTGATTCCAATTAGTCAACTAAATATCGAAATAAGTATTTCTCAGACTTTTCTTCTGAGCAATGTTTTAAAAATGTTTTTACTTACGAGTGATAATTTATTCAGATTTCAAACTTCCCTCTCTCTCCCTAGCTTCTCTATTTTCACCTATATGGCAAAAACACTAGTTATGTCCCCACCACACCCCCATCCCAGGGTACGTTCCCTTATTTCAATTACTAATAAAGCCTCCTAAATTTTAGCAAGGTCCATGCCCACACACCTGTCGATTATATTTCCCAGTCCCCTTGCAACTTAATGTACCATATGATTAGTCTTAGCCACAGGAATATAAGCAGAAGTTATAACTGCGATTTGTAGGTCTTCCATCAAGACTTCCTCCTCCCTTCTTTCTATGGTTTAAAATGTGAATGTGGCAGATACCTAGCTTTGACATGCCGACAAGAACACCACTTTAGCCCAGCCAGTGTGGTTAGCAGACTGAGTGTCCTCCCATGGACTGAGAGGTCCTGGCTCAATTCCTGGTCAGGGCACATGCCCGGGTTACAGGCTCATTCCCCAGTAGGGGGGCATGCAGGAGGCAGCCAATCAATGTTTCTCTCTCACATTGAGGTTTCTCTCTCCTTTCTTCTCTTTCTCTAAAAAAATCAATGAAAACATTAAAAAAAAAAAAAAAAAAAGGACCACCACTTTTAGGGGATGGTGAAGCAACAAGACAGAAGGAAACCATGTCCCTCAATGACCATGTAGAGCAGAGCAGCCTTGCCAGCCTGAACCACTAGCTTCTGGACTGATATGTAAGTGCTTATATTCAGAATCTCTTCTTAAGGCTTCCTAATGTGTTCCCTAATCAATACAACTACAACTCTCCTTTTTCACCCGGACTTAATAGCCGTTTTACCTAGCATGTACCATCTAACATTTACTCTCAGAGCGTTCTCACTTTCTCTTTCCCAGAGCACACCCACATCTCTCCTCCCTCTTACGTCCTCACGGCACTTACCTCTCTCCCTCTTTCTCCTAAGCTCCAAGGGCCCTTCTTTTGCCTATGTAACTTGTTTCCTGAGCGCATTCCTTCTCTGGCTCACTTCTTCTACCTCTCTGACTTTCTAAATAAACTTTCTGTTAGTGTGAAATAAATAAATAAATGGATTTACTCTCATATGCTGTACAGCTGAAACTAATGTAAAATCATATTGAAGGTAAATTATAATTGAAAAAAATTTTTATTTAAAAAAAGGATTTACTCCTTTAGCAACTTTCAAATATGCAATGCAGTATTAACTAGTCACCATGCTGTACATGACATCCCCATGAATGATTTTTCATAGCTGAAAATCTATACCTTTTGACCCCTACTATGTACCTTACTCATTGTTTCCAACCAAAATGTCTCATTAAGCCCTGGCCGGTTTGGCTCAGTGGTTAGAGCGTCAGCCTGCGGTCCAGAGAGACCCGGGTTCAGTTCCCGCTAGGGGCACATACCTCGGTTGCAGTTTGTCCCTGGCCCTGGTTGGTCGTGTGGGTGGCAGGGACTCGATGTGTCCCTTTCACATTGATGTTTCTCTCTCTCTCTCTTCCTCTCTCTCCCTCTCACTCTGTCTGAACAAAAAAATGGAAAAATATCCTCGGGTGAGGATAAAAAAAACAAAACAAAAAAAAATCCCACAAAATGTCTAATTAAGAGATTTCCAAATAACTTTTTCTGCTTAAACAATACAGACTGCTTTAAGCTCTCAAGAAATATCCAGTTTAAAAAAAAAGGTTCAGATAGCTAACAGTAGGAAAAAGAGACAGACAAGGTTGGCAAATTTTAAGATCTGCCTTAAGCAAACAGAGAAATGTCCTAGAATAATTACTCTTTATATCTTCTGGGGGCAACGCTACAAAATAATATCAAAATATCCAATAAATTGAACAATATGCCTTGCTCAACTTTAAGTTCCCATAAACTTCCAAAAGGTGTTTCAAAACTAATACATACTCCAAAGAAAGGGAAAAAGTGTTACAGCTTACATCACAGGAATAAAAGCAACACTCCCTGTGTTCTTACAAGGTGTTCAAAATATTTGATGACACTTTTACACTGTTACCATTTAATAGTGAAAAGACAGTATTTCAAACTTACAAATAAGAAAAAGGAAACCCACAGAGGTAAGGTAAGTTTTCTGAGGTCTGTGAAATCAGATATATTTACTAACAGCAGTGCTGTAATGGACTTTCATCTCTCTCTTTTTTTTTTGATTGAGAGAGGAAGGGAGAGAGAGATAGAAACATCGATGTAAGAGGGATATATGGATCAGCTGCCTCCTGCACACCCCTACTGGGGATGGAGCCCACAATCAAGGCAAATGCCCTGACCGGGAATAGAACCAGGAACTCTCAGTCCATGGGACAATGCTCAATCCACTGAGCCACACTGGCCGGGTATCTTTTTTTTAATCCTTCCCCAAGGATATGCTTTTATTGATTTTAGAGGGGGGTGCGAGAGAGAAAAAGGGAGAGAGGGAGAGAGAGAGAGGAACATCAATCAGTTGCCTCCTGTACATACCCTGACTGAGGATTGAACCCACAACCTAGGCATGTACCATGACCGGGAATCAAACCCACAATCTTTTGATGTATAGGACAATGCCCCCACAGAGTCATCCAGCCAGGGCGATTTTTGCCTTTCCATTTTGCTTTTTTGCCTATCTGCCATCTGACCTCAATGTCCTATGTATGGAACATCCCACAGTGTCAATCTTAGTAGAAAACAAATCCCCCACTACAAAAGCTAGAACAGGCCAGACATTTTCTCTCCTGTTCTGGTCCATGGCATCCAGAGTACAGATATGTGATCTAGGTTCAGCCAAGTCAGAGATTCACACATGGATTTGGAATCTGAAGACATGTAAAGGCAATTTATGGGAAGGGGTGGTGTGGGCTCAGCAGAGGCAGTGGTGCAGACCAGCAGCAGTGTGCTAGCGATTCTATTCCTATGGCCTGGCCCTGCCTGAGTGCAGCAGAGCCTCCCTGGGTTCCTGTTTCCCATCCATTCCGTGAGGTACCCTATGACCTTTCCATAAAGTTCTTTCTGTGCAAGTAAGCTAGAATTACTTTGTGTTGTTTGCAACCAAGACCTAACTGAAATCTACTTTTCTTAAAATTTCTAAGGCAGGCCCTGGCCGGTTTGGCTCAGCAGTTAGAGCATCAATTGCAGCCAAGGGCACCATACCTCAGTTGTGCAAGAGGCAACCAATCGATGTTTCTCTTTCGCATCGATATTTCTTCTCTCTCTCTTCCTCCCTTTCACTCTGTCTGAAAACAAATGGAAAAATATCCTCGGGCAAGGATTTAAAAAAAAAAAAAAAAAAAAAAAAGAATAAAAAAAATTTTCTAAGGCAGTTTCCCAACAAATACACTACTTTTTAAAAGATTACTGAACAGTTTAGAAAATCTTCTAATTCTACAAAGCCCACACATAGCCCTAGTAATTACATCTATTAAAATAGAAGGCAATGCCTTCTGACAATTCTTTGTATTCATTCAACACACGTCTTAAGATATAAGGTACTCTATAGGTGTTAGACAAAAAGACAACTAAGACAAATTACCTGCCCTCAGGAGTTTTCAACCATGGAAAAGAAAACAAAAATATATAAACAAGAACAATAAAGTTATATAACACAAGTCAGTATCCATAGAGTGGGAGAGGCAACCCAAAAGAGGTCAGCCTCTCTGGGGAAAGGGAAAAAGAGGAAATCAGAAAAGGCTATATAGAGTAAAACCTGACCCAGTCTGGGCAATAGGAAAGGGATGAATTTTAGATGTAAAGTAGGTCAGATAAAGGCACAGAAGTATTTTGAAACAGCTTGAAACACTACAATGCAAAGCCATCGAGGGATGGAGCGCAATAGGAGTAAGCAGAAGTCAACATCTGTATGGTATGGGGTGACAGGAAGCTTGGGTTTTACCCTGTAAGCCAGGAATTAGTTAAACCATATCCACAAATAAACCTTCTAAAACTGTATGCAAATTCCGTGTGCATGAACATTTCTTTTCTGGAGAGAAAAAACACTCCATTTCTTTTATTAGACTCACAAATTAGATCATGATGTAAACAGGCTAAAAACTACTGTAGAATCCCATTAGAAATCACTAAAGGGTTTTGAAGCATATCAACAGATCATACAGTATTTTACAAAAAGCATCCTTGAGATGGTATGGAAGACAGAATGGAGAGAGAAGGCAAGGACACAAGTTAGGGTAACATTAGAAAAATCTAAACGAGACCCGTATGAAGGCATGAACTAGAGCAGGAACACCAGAAAGGTGAAGGTGATGGACAGGAAAAATAGGAAGAGCTCAAAGGCTTTCATCTAATTCAATGAGACACTAACCCAGTAAACCATATGTAAAGTGGTATTATTCCTATTTCTCAAGGCAGATAATATAGAAGGAAGAGTTTGTTTGGGGAGGATAACAAGTTCATTTTGGGGTATACTAAATTTCAGAATACCTATCAGTTGTCCAGGTGGAGACATACAGCAAATAGCTGGATATACAAGTCTCACACTCAGAAAGAGGTCTGTCTATACTGGAGATACAAAATTGTATCTGCACAGTTGCAAGTCAATAAAATTACCTAAGCAGAGTGAAGAGCAGTGATTTCCAATGGGAAGGGAGCATCAAAAGTTGGGGGAGTAGGGAGAAGGGGTAATATACTTTGAAAACATATAGTCAGTAAATTGTTTAATACTTGAAAAAGGAAACATTACCTATTGTTTTCGGATTATAAAGTAAAGAAAATAAAGCTCAGTGGATCTTCAATCTTATTTGTATCAATGACTCCCAGTGAGGGGCTGAAAGGGGAAAAAAACTGCACCCCCTAACCCCCACCGGAGCCAGAGAAATGTTTGTCAAAAGTAGACATGCTTTAAAAAGTATGTTCCGCCCTGGC